TCGTGTTCCTGATATTGGGCAAAATGCTTTCACCATTTGAGTATGTTAGTGATAAGTTTGTCATATATGGACCTTATTATGTTTATATGTTTCTTTTATTCCCCTTTGATTGAAAAATTTAAAATTCTAAATAGTTGTGGAATCTTATCAAGAGTTTTTTTAGCATCTATTGAAATGATCATATGATGTTTATTTATCTTTCTCTTTATTGAAGTCATAAATGTCGCTGATTGATTTGTGTATGTTAAACTAACCTTGCATCCCTGAAGTGAATTCCCTTGGTCACAATGAATGACTTGTATTGCTGGAGTTGATTTACTGAGATTTTATTGAGGGTTTTCATCAGAGGTATCAGTCTATAGTTATATTTTTTGACCTTGTTTGGTTTTGGAATCAAGATAATGCTGGTCTCATGAAATGTGTTGAGGAGATTCCCACTCTCCTTAATTTTCTTTGAAGAATTTGAGAAGGATTAATATTAGATATTCTTTGAAAGTTTGGTAGAATTCAGTAATGAAATCGTGTGATTAGGGCCTCCCTGGTGGTGCAAGGGGTTAAGACGCAAACTATGAAGCTATCCGCGGCCACTGCAGCATGAATTTGATCCCTGGCCAGGGGGATACCCACATGGTGTGGCAGACCTCTCCTGTCTCGCCCACTGCTCCCCATAGCAGAGTATTTCAGTCAGTCTGCCTGTTCTGTTCCCCACTCTGTCTTTGGTGAATCATCTCATGCCCCACACCTCTGGCCTGTACCCCAGCTCTTGTACGCATAAATAAATATATCTTTTAAAAAAAATGAAATTGGGTGGTCTTAGGTCTTAGGCTCTTTTTTTTTTTTTTTTTTTTTAAAGATTTATTTATTTATTTACACAAGCACTGAGTACAGTCAGAAGCACGAGAGGGTGAGTGAATTCACCAGAGCCAGAGTGGGGAACAGAACGGGCAGACTGACGAAGTACACTGCTGAGGGGAGCAACGGGCGCAGCAGGAGAGGTCTGCATGCCATGTGGGACCCTTGCCGGTGGCCGGGGATCGAACCGGCACTGCAGAGGCTGCGGGCAACCCCGCAGCCCAGTGCTCAACCGCTGCGCCACCAGGGGAGGCCCTAGGCTTTTGTTCTTGTAGAGACTTGATTACTCTTTCAATTTTTGTGGTGGTGATTGGCCTACCCTAGCTGTGTGATTCATGCTGGTTCTCTTTTGGAAAGTTGTGTGATTCTAAAAAATTGTCCATTCCTTTTAGGATGTCCTGTTTGTTTGCATATAGATGTTCAGAGTTGTAGCTTATGATCCTTTGTTTTTATGTGGTTCCTTTTGTGATTTTTGCTTTTTTTTTTTCTCTCTGCTCTCTACTTAGTGAGCCTAGCTAAGGGTTTTATCAGTTTTCTTTATCCTTTCAAAGAACCATCTGTTGGTTTCATTGAACTTTTGTATCATCCTTCCGGTTTCTGTGTCATCTATATCTGCTGTAATCTTTTTATTATATCCTTCTGGAGATTTTTGGTTTTGTTTATTTTCTAGTTCCTTAAGATGTGATATTACATTATTTTAGAGTTTTCTTGCTTATTGATGTAGGGCTGTATTGCTTTGTACTTCCCTTTTTAAAAATTTGTTTCAAAGATTATTTATGCATACAAGAACTGGGGTGTAGGCTAGAATTGTGGGGGGTGAGAGGATTCACCACAGAGTGGGGAGTAGAACAGTCAGATCTACTGAAATACACTGCTGAGGGGAGCAGCAGGCGAGACAGGCCGGGGATCGAACTCATGCTGCATTCATTGGCTGGTGCTAGCTTGATAGTGCTGTGTCTTTAACCTGTGCCACCAGGGAGTCCCAGGAAGAACTCATTTTGCTCCAGGATCACTTTCCTGAGTTTGTACCTGTGCGTATTTGATTGAACTGCTAGAACACTGTTGAGTTTTTTAAATACAAAATGTTATTCTACAATCTTTGTTAGGTCTGCCAATTCTGTGTCTTTTATAAAGGTCTATTCATTTCTTTTCTTCTCTTTCAGCTATTCAGATACTCCTAGGCATGTGCTTGGCCTTATTTACTTTTACTAGCTGGGGTACTGTGACTTTAATTTGCTTATCCTTTTTTTAAAGATTTATTTATTTATGCATTCAAGAGTTGGGGTACAGACCAGAGGTGTGGGGGCGGGGGGTGAGAGGATTCACCAGAGACAGAGTGGGCAACAGAACAGGCAGATTGACTGAAGTACACTGCTGAGGGGAGCAGTGGGCGAGTCAGGAGAGGTCTGCTGTGCCATGTGGGTAGCTCCCTGGCTGGCCGGGAATCGAACTCGTGCTGCATTGGCTGCTGCTTGCTTCATAGGTAGTGTCTCAATCCTTGCGCCACCAGGGAGGCCTCTGTTTGTCTTTTTTGTTTCACATGTCAGCTAGTGATTGGGGGAGGTAAAGACTCAGTTTTGGCGAGGAGAAAGGGTGGATTATTTCTGGCAGAAGGATTTATACTACCTCTTATTCTCTTGGTCTCAAAGCAAACTGTTCACTGCTTCACAGAGCCTAAATTTCAGGGCCTGCTTCTTTGCTACTCTGCCACATAGCAGAGTGGTATGAGGTACACTGCACAATAGGTCTTTCTCTCTCTCTACTTTCTGTCAAAGGGTGCGCCATTGCTGATGCTGCCAGCAGCCAGATCCTCCACAACTGAACCAGCAGTCTCGGCACCCATGTGCTAGTAGGTCTGTAGTCCTTCCTTTCTATACAAAATCCCCACACATGAAACAATCTATGCTTGGTTCCAGTTTTTTCAGCTGACTGATAAGTCCTGCAACCTGTCTTCAACTCTCTTGCTTTCTCTCTGCATTGTCCCAATAGCAAGTGCCAATCTGAAAGATATCTGTTGACAGTGATGACCTGGGAAAATTTCCTGAGATCATAATTGAGTTTATCAAAGGTTTTATTTTATTTTATTTTACTTCACTTTTTAAAGATATTTATTTATACAAGAACCGGGGTACAGGCCAGATTCATGGGAGGGTGAGGGAATTCACCAGAGACAGCGAGGAACAGAACAGGCAGACTGACTGAAATACACTGTTAAGGGGAGCAGCGGGCGAGATAGGAGAGGTCTGGTGCGTCATGTGGGACCCTCGCCGGCTGGCCAGGATCGAACCAGCGCTGCAGAGGCTGTGGACAGCTTAACAGCACTGAGCTCAACCACCTGCGCCACCAGGGGAGGCCTATCTAGGGTTTTATTTAGGGGAGAAGTTTATTAGAATCTCCCTATACTACCATATTGTGTGGAAGTCTCTACAGAAGTGCTAATATACACTTCGTCACTCCTTTCCCCCCATCCAATGTAAAAGACAATTGCATAAAACAAAACTGTAAGTGTGACATTAACAACAAGGGAGAGATACTAAAGAGGAACAAAATTTTTGTACAGTAATGAAAATAAACTAGGTTGTTTCAAGAAATTGTAATACCAAGTGCAATCACTAAGAAAATATATATCAAAAGAAATAAGGGCATTAAAACCGTATACATGTATTGAAAAAACAAATGATTCAGCTGTTGATTCAAATATACAAATTGGTTAAAGCAAAGGATGAGAAAAGATATATGTAAACAGCAAAAAGAGCTGGAATGCCTATACTAAAATCATGCTATATGAAATTGTTACAAGAGATAAAGAAGGGCTTTATATAATGATTTGAGTTAGAAATAGCTATAAATTTATATGTACTTAAAAAAAGCTGCAGATGCAGGAAGCAAAAAATGGACAGAATTGAAGGGAGTAATAGACAATTCAGCAATAATTGCTGGGAATGTCAATACTCTCCTTTTAATAGTGGATAAAACACATGGACAGATAATCCATAAATTTTAATACTTCAACACTAAACCCAGTTGCACCTAACAGACATAAATATATCATTCTGCCCACCACCAAGAACAGAATACTCATTCTAGTGCACATGTCACATTTTCTTGGATATTCCATATATTAGGCCTCAAAACAAGTCTCAGTATATTGTGAAAGACTGAAGTCATACAAAGTATGCTCTCTGACCACATTGATAGAAATAACTTGTTAAATATGAAAAATTCACAAATATGTGGAAATTAAAACCTATGATTAAAAAATACTGAGAGTCTTAATCTAGTCATGTTTAATGAGTGTGTATTTTAATGAAGAATACATTTATACACTTTTGTGCATATACTTAAAAATTTAAGAGTTTTGATAGTCACAGTGAATGTTCTGATTACTAGAAATATGTGTTGTCCAGGATATGTTTTTTAGCATTGGACTACAAATTTTATAGTCATATAAATACCTCAGGTCACATAAAATTCTTTTCAGTGTATGATTTTTTCCCTCTTTATCAAAGTAACTTTTTGATAAAAAAGTGTTTCATGGATTTATACTTTTGGCTTACATTTCCCAAGGATAAGTTAGCTGACACTTAGCGGCTCCTATGGATGCTCAATGATATAAAGGGCAAAAGTCACTAAATATTTTTCATAAGTAAGTTGCATATTGCCTATTTGGTAACAGATCAAGTGTTGAGTGGGGTAGTCCATGACCTTTAGTAAAATATGCTGTATCATTTATTGCTACTCATGGCAATGTAAAGGTCTTTCTTTAGTGGAATTATCAGAAAATGTCAAAAGAAGTTCTAAAACCTTTAAAAAATATCCTCTTAGAGTTAGAATTCAGAATGTTTTATCCAGTTAATGTTCATTCATTAATTTTTCTCATTCTGTTAATTTCTATTTCTAACTACAGTAATTTTAATAAGTGTTAGGAAAGTAGCAGCTATTTTTCTTGTGTGGAACATTTTAATTTTCTTGTTTTTTGTTGCTGCAATAAAAAATAAGTAGCCTCTTTTATGTTTATCTTAATAGAGACAGACTTTTTATTTTAGTACATATAGATTAGCAGTTCTTCATATATTTTTCTAAATATATTTTTAAAGGAATTTGCATGGAAATAAGTTAAACATGTGGTTCATGTTAATTTCCTTCAGGAGAGGGAAGCCAGCACCCTTTTGGAGCCATGAATATTGTAAGAACTCCATCTGTTGCTCAGATTGGAATTTCAGTGGAATTATTGGACAGCCTGGCTCAGCAGACTCCTGTAGGCAATGCTGCTGTATCCTCGGTTGACTCTTTCACTCAGGTAATGCGGTGTGCATTTCATTATAAAAAATTATTTTCTATATTTTGAAATGGTGTTAGGAAACATGTAAAAATGAAGGATAACTTACAAGTTTTTGGCTTCTGGGATATTTTAAGTTTGCTTGCTTTCTAGGTATATCTTTATGAAATTGTTTTGATAAGACTTCTGTTATATAGTTATAAAATAGCATAAAGTTATTTTAAAAAATGGGTTTAAGTATTAACTTTTCCTTTTTTCCTCGCTAGGCTGTGGGTACAGGTTGTGAACATGATAAACAAGATCTTTGTCCTTACAGAGCTTAAAGTAACTTAATTCTATAGATTTGACTTTTAACTTCTATTTGGTAGATCTGAAAGGAAAAATGATCATGGCAGAGCTATTGTTTACTTCAAAGGCCTTGAAGTAGAGGTTTTATTTTTTAAATTTTTAATTTTTTTAAAGATTTATTTATGCATACAAGAACTGGGGCATAGGCCAGAAATGCAGAGGGTGAGAGGATTCACCATAGACAGAGCAGGGAACAGAACAGGCGAATTGACTGAAGCACACTGCTGAGGGGAGCAGCGGGCAAGTCAGCAGCAGTCTGCTGTGTCATGTGGGTAGCTCCCTGGCCAGGGATCGAACTCACGCTGCGAATAGCTTCATAGGTTGCGTCTTAATCTCTTGTGCCACCAGGGAGGCTCTAGAAGTTTCATTTTTGAAGAATGACATGAAGGGCTTTGAGTAGAGTGAGCAAGGCTGGGAGAAAACGAATTGGGCATTATATCTGCAGGGTAAATCATATGGGAATGCATTTACTTTCTTTTTTTTTTCTTTTTTTTTTTTTAGCATTTCACAACAACCCAACATTCATTTGATTTCAAAAATAAAAGCAAAGGCAAAACAAAACTTTGAGCAAACTAGGCCTAGAAGGGAAATTCCTCCAGTGACAAAGGGCAGTTAGGAGAAAGCTACAGTTACAATCTTCCAATACATGTTTAAAAAGTGAACAAGCAGTGGTGGCCAGGAAAGGGTCTTTGGGGAAGAAGGCTGAGGATAATTGCTTAATTTGGTTTTGTTCTTACTAAATTCTTTAGTTTCCATCATTGTGATTTATGAATTGCTTTCTCTAATGCAATTGGCAGTTCCTGCTGTCAGTCTGCATTTACCTATCCTTAACCTGACTGGCAGATTGCTCTCTCTCCTCAGGTTAATGTGCAGGGATTTGACCTAGAGGTAAAGCAGACATAAAGATTCTTGGGATTCAAGGAATGCATTTACTTTCATGAGAATTTTGGCTTATATTCTGTTTGAAAGGGAAAACAAGAGTATTTTGAACAAAAGAAAATAAGGTCTAACATTTTAAATTGGTCACTTTTGTATCTTTGGGGAGAAACTGCAGTGGGACAAAGATGGAAAAGAAAAAAATCAGGAGACTCTTGTGAAAATCTAGATGAGAGATGAAAATCTAGATGGTGTGAAGAGGCAGAAGTGGAGGTGATGAAAACTAGTTGATTTATGGAGATAACTTGAAGATAGACTTAGTAGAGTTGTGTGGCATGGATCACATGTGAAGTGCGAGACAGAGAGACATCACTGGTGGCTCCAAAAATGTTGGCTTGAAGAACTGGAACACAAGAATATTGTGAAAAGAATAGGTATATATTGGGAGTGGAATGAGAGGTTTTATTTTTGTTGTGCTATGTTTGTGATGCTTCCTAGATATATGAGCAAAGATGACAAATTTAAGTTTTAAGAGAAAGGTATGGTTAGAGATAAACAATTGGGAGCCATCAATGTAGAGATGGTAGTTAAAGTTATAGGAGGGTTGTGATCACCAGAGAAGTAACCGTAAATAGAAAAGTTGGCCAATGACTGAGGTTGGGACCCTTTCTAACTTGAGAAAGTATAGAGATGAAGAAATATAAAAGAAAAGAAGTGCTAGAAAAGACCCCAAAAGAGGTGTTTGGGAAAGAGAGCAAAGACTGCTTTTTAAGAAGGAAGACGTAATCAGTAATACCATATTGCTAATGTTTCTAGTGAGATTAGAGTTAAGAATTAACCATTTAATTCTGCAAGATAGAAATCATTACAGGCTGATAAGTTCAGAGAGGTGGAAAGGGAGTTTGAAGTGAGTTTGAGTGAATTAGAGGAGAAACCTGAAGCAGTATATATAGATGACACTTGACAAATTACTCTTGGTTTGGTTGCTTGAAGCTGCTCTGGGAGGAAGAATTTTTTTTTCTCGTTTTTGTTTTTGTTTAAAAAAAAAAAAGATTTATTTATTTATGCATGCAAGAACGGGATGTGCGGGAGGGTGAAAGGATTCACCAGAGACAGAGAGGGGAACAGAACAGGCGAATTGACTGAAATACACTGCTGAGGGGAGCAGCGGGGAGAAAGGAGAGGTCTGCTGTTCCATGTGCGTTAGCTCCCTGGCTGGGAATTGAACTCATGTCACAGTGACTGATGATAGCTTGATAGCTTGATAGTACTGAAACTTCAACAAACCCTGCATCACCAGGGAGGCCATAGTGGTTTTTTTTTTTTTTGAAGTAACATTGTTATATAATATTATATGTGATTCAGGGACGTGGGATCACACATCCTCAGATGCATGTCCTCACACCACACCCACCACCAAAGCATCCACAGTCTTCTAACACTTGTAACCAGGATTTCACAGTCGGTTTTCTAGGGCTTGTTACTGCCTTGGTTTTATCTTTATTTTGTTTTTCTATATTCCACCTGTAATTGAAACCATTACTTACTTCGCTTAGCTTTAGCCCCTCTAGTTCCATCCATATTGTCACAAAAGATAAGTCTTTTTTTTTTTCTTATAACTCAGTAGTATTCCATTCTATATATACCATTTTTTCTGATCCACTCCTCTGTCCATAGGCAGTTAGGTTGTTTCCATAACATGGTTATTGTAAATACTGCTGCAGTGATCATTGAAGTGCACATATTCTTTCCAAAACCTAAAAATGGAATTGCTGGATCCATATAATAGATGTTTTTACTATTTTGAGAAATCTTCATACTGTTTTCCATAGGAGCTAGACCAGTCTGCATTTCCACCAACAAATAAAAGGGTTCTTTTTTCTCCAAAACTGCACCAGCATTTATTGGTTTTGATCTTTTTTTTTTTTTAAAGATTTACTTATTTATTTTATACAAGCACTGGGTACAGTCAGAAGCGCAGGAGGGTGAGAGAATTCACCAGAGCCAGAGCGGGGAACAGACAGACCAACGAAATACACTGCTGAGGGGAGCAGTGGGCGCGGCAGGAGAGGTCTGCACTCCATGTGGGATTCTCGCTGTCCATCCCGGATTGAACCCATGCTGCAGAGGCTGCGGGCAGCTTCGCAACCCAGCGCTCAACCGCTGCGCCACCCGGGAGGCCCAATTTTTTCTTTATTATAATTGGCTTTTTTCCCTGGTCCCTTATATAGGTTTTCTAAATTCCTAGTATGAGTGAGACCGTCTGGTATTTTTCTCTTTTTTTCTGGCTTATTTCGCTGAGCATGATCCCTTCCAGCGCCATCCATGTTGCTGCAAATTGCATGAGTTTATCTTTTTTTGATTGCTGAGTAATATCCCATTGTGTCTATGTACCACATCTTCTTGATCCAGTCATCAGTGTTTGGGCATTTGGGTTGCTTCTATAGCTTAGCTATTGCAAATAGTGCTGCAATAAACAGGGGTGCAAGTGCCCTTTTGAATTAATGATTCTGTATCCTTTGAGTAAATACCTAGGAATGGAATTGCTGGATCATATGGAAGCTCCATCTTTAGCGAATTAAAGAGCTTCTGTACAGCAAAAGAGAGAGTAACCAAAACAGACACCCCACTGACTGGGAGAAAATTTTTGCACAGAACACTAATTATAAAGGACTGATCACAAAAATCTACAAAGAGCAGAAGAGACTCAACAAAAACAAAGTAAATAATCCAGTCAAAAAATGGGCAGAAGAGCTAAAAAGTCACTTCTCCAGAGAGGAAATGCAAATGGCCAACAGGCATATGAAAAAATGTTCGATATCACTTGTAATCAGGGAAATGCAAATCAAAACTACCATGAGATACCATCTTACACCAGTGAGAATGGCACATATTAAAAAAAAACTAGCTACAGCAAATGTTGGCGAGGATGTGGAGAGAAAGGAACTCTCCTGCACTGTTGGTGGGAGTGTAAACTGGTCCAACCACTATGGAGAGCTGTGTGGATATTCCTCAACCTGCAAAAGATAGGTTCTTTACTTTTTGTTGAGTGGTAAGTATTCTTTGTAGATCTTTGTCAGATATATGCTGTGCAAATATTTCTTCCATTGAATTGGGTGACCTTTTGTTTTAATATTCCTTTTACAATGCAGAATAATTTTAATTTGGTGTAGTCACATTTACCTATATATACTTTTGTTTATCATGCTGTTGGAGATAAATCCCCAAACACATCACTGAAACCAGTCTCTTGGAGTATTTTGCCTATGTTTTCTTCAGTGTATTTAATGACTTTGGGTTTTCTATCCATGTCTTTAATCCATATTGAGTTAGTTTTTATGTAATAAAACTGTGTGAGCTGGTGACCTAGTTTCATTTTTTGCATACGTCTGTCCAGTTTTCCCAACCATACACAAAGAGAAATGACTCTCCTTGCTCCAGTGTATACTTTTAGCTCTTTAGTCAGGGATTAACTCGCCATAGATGTGCAATTTTATTTTTGGCCTCTCAATTCTTTCCACTGGTCTGTGTGTCTGTTTTTTCTCCAGTTTTGCTTACTATAGCTTTGTAGTATGGTATGAAGTGGGGAGTATGTCACCACTTTTTCTCAGAATTATTTTGACTTGTTATTGTAATCTGTGGTTTCATATGAATTTCAGTAAAGTTTGTTTCATTTCTTTGAAGAATGCTATTGAACCTTGATAGAGATTGTATTCAATCTTTGTTGCTTGGGGTAAGATGGCATTTTAACAATGTTTATTCTTCTAATTCATGAGCAGATAACTTATCTTTCCATTTCTTTCTGTATTCTATTTTCTTTAGTATTGTCTTTATATATATACATATATATATATATATATATATATATATAAACATCATCCTGCATTTTTGTACAATGTATGATTTCCCATGAAATGCCCACCATCAGTTCATCCATGCACCATCACCATAGACCCTTGTGCTCTTTCTACCCTGTCCTGATTCTTCTCCCTCCTCTTCCCCTGCAGAATGTCTCTGGTCTATTGTTGCCTGTTGACCTTCCTTTTTTTTTTTTTACATTGCTCATTTTGATGAATAAAGCAATTTTATTCCTTTTAACACATAGACTACATATCTGAAATTGTCTTCCATTTTTATATTCCTAGTATTTTATTTTTTTAATCTTAAAATAGAAAGTTAAATTTTTTATAATTTTTTTTAAATAATAAATTTTATTTTTATATTCCCCATACATTTGCAACCCCCATTCTGACCCCAGTCCCTCCCCTCCCGCCCCCCACCCCCCAAAAACTGTCTCTGGTTCATAGTTTTTTGTTGATTTTGATTTTCACTTTCTTATAGTTATTCATTTTCCTGGTCCCTTATTTAAGTTCTCTAGATTCCTGCTATGAGTGAGACCATCCGGTATTTTTCTTTTTCTTTCTGGCTTATTTCGCTGAGCATGATCCCTTCCAGCTCCATCCATGTTGCTGCAAATTGCATGTGTTTATCTTTTTTGAATGCTGAGTAATATTCCATGGTATATATGTACCACATCTTCTTGATCCAGTCATCTATTTTTGGGCATTTGGGCTATTTCCAAAGCTTAGTTATTGTAAATAGTGCTGCTATAAACATAGGGGTGCAGGTGTTCTTTGGAATTGATGTTTCTGTGTCCTTTGGGTAAATACCTAGGAGTGGAATTGCTGGATCATATGGAAGCTCCATGTTTAGTAGGTCCAGAAATCTCCACACAGCTCTCCATAGTGTTTGGACCAGTTTGCACTCCTACCAACGGTGCAGAAGAGTTCCTTTTTCTCCACACCCTCGCCAACATTTGTTGTTGCTAGTTTTTTTAATATGTGCCATTCTCACTGGTGTAAGATGGTATCTCATGGTAGTTTTGATTTGCATTTCCCTGATTACAAGTGATGTCGAACATTTTTTCATATGCCTGTTGGCCATTTGCATTTCCTCTTTGGAGAAGTGTCCTTTCGCCCATTTTTTGACTGCATAGTTTATTTTATTTTTGTTGAGTTTTGTTAGTTCTTTGTAGATCATTGTGATCAGTCCCTTATCATTAGTATTGTGTGCAAAAATTTTCTCCAAATCAGTGGGCCCTTTTAGTAATGTCTTACAGTTTTCATTGTATAGGTCCTTTACCTTCTTTGTTTAGTGTACTCTTAGATATTGAATTTTTTCATAATGTGAATGGGATTGTTTTCTTGGTTTCTTTCTCTTCTAGCTTAGGTTTTCCTGTGTGTATTATCATGTCATCTGAAAACAATGATAATTTTCTTTTCTGTTTTGGATTCGTTTTATATCTTTTTCTTGCTTGATTGCTCTAGGTAGGACTTTCAATACTATGTTGAATAGTAGTGGTGAAAATAGACATTCTTGTCTTGTACCAGATCTTAGAGGAAAAGATTTAGTCTTTCATGATTGAGTGTGATGTTGTTTGTGGATTTGTCATAAATGGCCTTTAGTATGTTGAGGTATGTTATATCCATCCCTAGTTTATTGAGGGTTTTTATCATAAGTGGGTGATGAATCTTATCAATGATTTCTTAGCCTCTGTTGATATTATCATATGTTTCCTTTTGTTGATGTGGTGAATTACATTGATTGATTTAAGATGATAGACCTGTCCTGTGTCCCTGTAATAAATTCCACACAGTCACGATCTGTGACATCTTTGACATTTTGCTGAATTTGGTTTGCTAAGAATTTATTGAGAATTTTTTGCATTTATCTTCATGAGGGTTATTGGCTTGTAATTTTTTTTGTGTGTTATCTTTGTAGTGTTTCAGTATCAGTGATGTTGACCTTATAGAATGTGTTTGGAAGCATTCTCTCTTTTTCATTTTTTTGGAGGAGTTTGAGTTTCATCAAACTGATGAATTGCTGGCATGTCGATGTTCATAGTATTTGCTTAAGATCTCTGTATTTCTGAAATGTCTGCTGTAATGTTTGCTCTTTGGTTTATTATTTTCTTTATTAGAATTTTCTCCATTTTCCCTTAGTCAGTCTACCTAAATGTTTAACTACATTGTTGACTTTTTAAAAAAAACAAAAATCAGTTTTGGGTTTCATCGAGCCATTGAACTTTTTGGTTTCAATTTCATTTATTTTATTCTATTTTTTTAATATTTCCTTTCTTATATTGACTTTTGGCTTTTTAATTTTTTCCTAGTACTTTGATGTAAGAGCTATTATTTTTTTCTTTGAGCTCTTTCTTGTTTCTTGAGAGAAGTCTATAGTGCTAGCTATATGCTTCCCTCTCAGCACTGCTTTTACTGTGTCCCAGAGGTTCTGAAAGGTGGTGTCTTCGTTTTCATTGGTCTCCATGTGTTTTTTTTTTTTTTAATAGAGGCATGTTTTATTTATTTATTTATTTGTTTGTTTGTTTGTTTATACATGCACTGGGTACAGTCAGAAGCGCACTGGGTACAGTCAGAAGCGCGGGAGGGTGAGAGAATTCACCAGAGCCAGAGCGGGGAGCAGAGCAGGCAGAAGGACCGAAGTACACTGCTGAGGGGAGCAGCGGGCGGCAGGAGAGGTCTGTGCGCCATGCGGGACCCCTCCTCTGGTGACCGGGGAGCAGCCGGGGATCGAACCGGCGCTGCAGAGGCTGCGGGCAGCTTCGTAACCCAGCGCTTGGTTATTTAGTTAGTGATTTTACTGAATTTGATATTAGCTCAAGTACCTTGATGGTGATTCTCTTGGATTAAATTTCCATGATATTATTTAACAAAAATAAAACCCTTAATGTTTCTTTTTGTGTAGAAAAGACACAGCAAGCTTCTTCAAGGGTAGTTTTATATTTCTGAGAAAGTGATGTTGGGAATATTAGAGTGAATTGAAGGCAGTATTATCTTTAGTACTTCATTTACTTTTGAGTTTAGTGCTCAAACCCATTTAAGTCTCAGGAAATATGAATCAGTTTACATCTAGCTTCCACCAACGAAGCTTGGAAAGTTTTATTAGATTTCTTCATTTAAGGCTCAATGAGAAGAAACAGGCCAGGAAATAGAGAAAATGAAATAATGCTACTTTTATCTTTATAATTGATGGCAAAAGACTTCTTAGAAATGATTACTATTTTAAATGAGAAAATAGGTTTTTTGAGGATGGAATAGTGATTCAGAGATAGAGTTAAGGAGCTGTTACTTTGAAGGGAAATATTTTTCTTTTTTCTCCAAAGACAAATGATAGGGTCTTAAAATATTTAATAGTCATAGAAATTCTTTGAGATATAAAATATTAAATGAAGATTATTGTAAGTTTGCGCCATAATGTCATTTTATGATTTCCTTTAACTTTCATCATTAGACTGTCTTAGAATTCACAGTCCTCAAAGCCAAGTTAATGCAGGAACTTTTTTTATTTATTTTCTTACATCATTATTCTCCCCTCAGGTGTAGTCCCCATAGGTTTTTTTTTCCCCTATAGTTCTCCCACCATCATAGCACCTGTGCATCATCACCTTAGTCCCCTCTTTTCACCCCTCTCCCTCCCCTTATTGCTGTTTGCTTCTAATCTGTGGTCAGCTTGCAAGTGTTGTCTTTTTCCCATACAGGAACATTTTAAATTAAAATTAAAAATGTTAAGGCCTAGGGCCTCCCCAGTGGTCCAGGGGGTTGAGCGCAGCTCTGTGAGGCTGTCCACAGCTTCTGCAGTGCTGGTTTGATCCCTGCCGGCCTCAGAGCAACCCACATGGCGCAGCAGACCTCTCCTGTCTCGTCCGCTGGTCCCCTCAGCAGTGTGTTTCGGTCATTCTGCCTGTTCTGCTCCCTGCTCTGTCTCTGGTGAAGCCTCTTGCCCTCCTGTGCCTCTGACCTGTACCCCAGTTCTTATATAAATAAATCTTAAAAAAAAAGTTAAAGCCTAAATGGAGTATTTAGTTTAATCCATTAATTATTCATTATTGACTTTTCAGTTCACACAAAAGATGCTGGACAACTTCTACAATTTCGCTTCATCATTTGCTGTTTCTCAGGCTCAGATGACACCAAGTCCATCTGAAATGTTCATTCCGGCAAATGTGGTTCTGAAATGGTATGGAACATTTTGTATCTGTAATATTAATAATTCTTAGCAACCATATATGTATTTTTATATATATATTACCTGTGAATATGTATTTTTTTGACATTTAAGCATATTCTTTTATTGCTGACATCAGCATACATTAATATTTGCATTCCATTAAAAAGTATGTACTGAAGATAAGAGTTCAGACCAGGAATAGTTCTTAACCCTAAATATTCTGTTGCATGGCAGCTATTTTAAATTTATAAAGAAAGGAAAATAAATTTACCTGTATTTTAGGGAGACTGTAATTAAGTACTATTAATTTTTTATATATTTGAGTTTAAGTACTTTATAGGTTTTGAAATAGCAATCAAAGTTTTTTTTTTTTGTAAGTTTGGAAAGTCTTGATCTAAATTTAACATGTGTAAGGAAGGCATCGGGTATTTTACATTGCACATGATTATTAGTAAATCTGTTTCCCCAACATCCTCATGTTTCTGTTTCTGGCTTTTAATGTCTGTCATAGGATATACATGGAGCTTGTTGAGCACTGGCAGCGTGGTGCAGCAGGGATGTAATGTTTTAGATTTGTACTTTGTTACACTGCACTGTGTCATGTGAAATAAAGAAAGAGGAGTTAGATTTGATTTTTTTCCTGGGTTTCTTTTAGCTCTCAGATTTCCAGAAGATAAATGATAAATTTATTATGATTTGTGCTCTTTAATGCGAGCCAGTCATACTTAAATCCCTTTTTTTTTTTTTTTTTGCTTTTTTTTTTAAAATAAGAATAAATTCCCAGATTAACTTCTTAGTTTTTTGGGAAATTTTTATCATATCTTTTTGTATGTGATATGTAAAGTTGCTTGGTTTTTGATAAGTCATTTGGCATTTTATGAAAGGTGCTATTTTAATTTTCTCAAATGTTTTTTCTTTTGTAGGTATGAAAACTTTCAAAGGCGACTAGCACAGAACCCTCTCTTTTGGAAAACATAATTTGAATAAAATAATTTTTAATGGATTCTGAAATTTGTCATGTTTTGAAGATAAATGACTCCATGTAAAAAAGTATGAAGTAAAATGGATCATGAAGCTTAAGTTTAAGCCTAAGTTTAAAAATTAAAATTCTTATGAAATATTAAAAATATTGAATAATGAAAACATGTTCCTTATTAGTGAGTGACTTTTTGTCCCTTAAGCATAAGGTATTATACAGAAGCATAATATTTTGTTTTGATAAGATTCACTTTTTACTTAAAATAGCGCATTATAGTGCATTTTCACAGTAATAGTATGCCAAGTGCCATCGCATTTATAATCTTTGATTTACTTTTACAGTGGTTTACTAGAGTAGGTAACTTACAATCAAGCATGTCAAAATTGGGGGTACTTTTTGAAAAATATACCAAATAGCATTTTTATGTATGGATAAAACTATTTTCAGTTAGTGTTTCTTAAGATTACAAATTTTTTCAATAAACACAGTTTGCCTGTCAGTTTTTATATCTGCAAATACATGCATTTAATTTTGTTTAATAAAATTGCCATGATTAACACTGGTGAGGTTTTATATAATACTGGTAGGACTGCTAGGCATTAGTGTATAGAATATAGGATTCATTTCCTTTGTGTATGAAGATAAAGCCATGTCTTACTCAAAGGGAACCCTTTGATATAATTTTGCTGGTGACACTCATCAACCAAAACCATCAGGACCTCACCTCTAATCAAAACTAGGATTGTTAGTTTGCTGCATCAAGGGAGTATGTACACCAGAGTAACCAGGGGGTATCTTCAAATGAAGGGTACATATAGGAGTATCGAGTTTTTGATCACCTTGATGATCCATCCAGGAATTGATGAAATTTGGAAACTAGATTGTTGCTGCACCAGTCAGTGTTTTTAGAGCACATGAACAGATCAGAATTATTGTTGATTCAGTTTGTGGTCTTATCTTGAAACAGATCAGGTTGTACTGGTGTTAAAAGTTTGAACATAATGTAATTTCTTGCATTGTAAAAGTTTTGTAGGCTTATGACTTTTGCAAATTGTATACTTCTGCAAATTGTGGTTTCCCTTTTAATTCTCATTTCTCTTCTTCTGTACTTCAATTTAAATTGAACGTTAGGATGCTTATTTTGTGGAGTGATCAATCTAGGTTTGTATTGTTACTTAATGGCTTTTTGTGTATCAAGTTTTTTTTGTATGTATCATACTAAATCATTTTTTATTTTATTTTTGGAAAAATATATGCACCAATTATTCAGTGGTAGTCAAAAGCCTCAGGTCTTCAACCATTAGTAATTGATTATTGTTGAATTCTGTGACTTGAGAGTCACAACAGCATTTAAGATTCTAGACAGAAAACATCGACTAACTGTAATAAGATAACTATAGTCAGAATAAGCAAAATGGTTATTATTATACTAGAATATAAAGAAGAACCTAATTTATCAAAACCAAGCAGCAAAAGAAATCCAGTTGGGTCTATTCTAGAGAAGAGTGAAATAACCTCTGCTTTTAACTAAGAGACTGTTCTGTCTGTCCCATGATCTTTATAGAGGTACAAGAAGAAGCATTAGCTAAATACAGACCGCGCTTTGGCTTGACAAGAGGAAGTAAAAGACCCTGATATTGTCCGTGACAGTCTTGGGGAGGGAATTAATTCGTTTTTCTTCTAATTTTTCTTTATTGAGCTAACATTGGTTTGCAACACTATACATGAATGTTAACACAACACTCCAACCATAAATCACCCATAGTCCTTTACTCTAGACTACTCTAGACCATTGGGCCTCCCTTGTTCCCACAATAATCCTCTCCCCTTTTAGCACCCTTAATTCTGCAGCCATATTTCTAGGGTTTGTTTTGGTTTAGTTTTATCCATTCTTTTGTTTTTCTTTCTCTGTATTCCACATATGAGTGAAATATGATGTTTATCTTTTTTCTTCTGACTCACTTCATGTAGCATTATCCCTTTCAGTTCATCTATGTTGTCACAAATGACAAGAGTTTATCTTTTTTTATAACTGGGTACTACTCCATTGTGTATATATAACGCAGCTTCTTAATCCACTGCTCTGTCATTTAGGTTGTTTGCTTAATTTAGCTATTGTAAAAAGTGCTGCAATGAATATAGGAGTGCACATATCCCTTTGAATCAGTGATTTTATATTCTTTGGGTAGATACCTGAGTGGAATTCCTGGGCATATGGTAGATCTATTTTTAAAATAACCTCCATGCTATTTTCTGTAGGGGCTGGGCCAGTCTACACTCCCACCAACAGTGTATAGGATTCCATCTTCTATACCTGATCAGTAATATTTGTTGTTTCTGGTTTTGTTTTGTTTTGTTTTGTTTTTTGATATGGGCCATTCTCAAGGAAGTGAGGTGGTATCTTAGTGGTTTTGATTTGCATTTCCCTCATAACAAATGATGTTGGGCATTTTTTCATGTGCTTTTAGGCCATTTGTATGTCTTTGTATGCTTTTAGGCCATTTGTACTTAGTTCTTTTGCCTAATTCTTTTCTTAACTTCGTTATTTAGTTGTATGAGTTTCAGTAGATCTTGGATATTAGCTCTTTATGGGATGTACGATGTGCAAGTATTTTCTCCCATTCTGTAGGTTTTTTTTTTTTTAAATGTATTTATTTATACACACAAGACTGGGGGGTGTGTTGGCCAGAGGTGTGGGGAGTGAGAGGATTCACCAGAGATAGTGTGGGGAACAGAACAGGAAGATCTACTGAAACACATTGCTGAGGGGAGCAGCGGGCGAGACAGGAGAGGTCTGCTGCACCATGTGGGTCAGCTCCCTGGCTGGGGATCAAACTCATGCCACAGTGGTTGGCAATAGCTTGATAGGCTCATATTTTAACCCCATGCCACCAGGAAGTCCCTGTTTGTTTTATTTTTAACTGATAGTTTATTTGCTGTGCAGATATTTTTTAGTTTAATGTAGTTCCACATTTTTGTTTTTGTTTTTATTTTCCTTGCCATTAGAATTTGTTTTCAAAGAAATAATTGAAGCCAATGCCCTGGAGTGTGTTGCTTATGTTTTTTTCTATGTATTTTATGGATTCTGGTCTTACATCCAAAGCTTTAATCCATTTGGACTTAATTTTTGTGTATTAGAGTGGTCTAGTTTCATTTCCCTGCATATTGCTGACCAGTTTTCCCAACACCATTTGTTGAAGAGACTTTTCTTTCTCCATTGCATATTCTTGGCTCCTTTGCCGTAGGTTAACTCTCCACAGATATTTTGTTGGCCTGTGTGTCTGTATTCCAGTACCGTATTGTTTTGATTTCTATGGCCTTGTAATATAGCCTGTGGTACCTCCATTCTTCTTTACTCTCAAAATCACTGTGGCTGTTCAGCTTCCATATAAATTCCATATAAATTCTGTCCTGTTTCTTTGAAGAACTTCACTGGAATTTTGATAGGGATTACATTGAATCTATAAATTGATCTGGGTATGATGAACTTTTTTTTAATTTTGGGGTTATGCATTTTGCTTTTCCATATGTGCACATGTTCTACTTACCCTCCACCAAATCACCTGTGTCCATACCCTCTGCTTCCTTCCCTCATACCCTAATCCCTCCCTGTTGTTCTGTCTAGTAACCATTATATTCTACCACTGAATACATATTTACTCTTACTATACTTTGCCTGTAGTGTGTGGTTTTTTTTGTTGTTGTTGTTGTTATTTATATTCCTTGGATGAGTGACACCATCCAGTATCTGCCTTTCAGTCTTATTTCACTTAATCACTTCAAGGTCCATCCATTTTGTTCCAAATGACACTCATCTTTTTTCAGAGCTATGTAGTACTCCATTGAGTATATACTCCATAATTTTTTTATCTGCTTGTCTGTTGAAGGGCACTTGGTTTGTTCCATGACTTTGCAGTTCTGCACAGGCTGCTGTGTACATAGGTATAGATAAATTTAGTATTAGAGTCCTCATATTTGGATAAATACTTAGCAGAGGTTTGCTGGGTCATATGGAGTTTACTTTTTTTTTTTTTTTAAATTTCCATGCTTTTTTCCACAGGGTCTACAACAATTTACATTTTTACCAATAGTGGATGAGAATTTCTCCTTCACTGCAACCTCATCATTTGTTGATACTATACTTTTTTATATGGGCCATTTTCATGTGGGCGTGAGGCGGTATCTCAGTGTGGTTTTGATGTGCATTTCCATTATAATTAGTGATGTTGAACAGTTTTTTTATGTCTGTAAGACATTGGATTGTCTTCCTTAGAAAGTGTCTATTAAGGTCATTTGCCCAATTTTTTCTGTTTTATTTTTTGTTGTTTCATTAAACTTTTAACATTTTCTTACTTCATTGTTTATTTTTATATAGATTTGATTAATTCCTTCAGGTGTAGTCCCCATAAGCCTACCACACTTTATCACCCATTAACCGTCACCATAGGCCTTTGTGCTCTACCCTTCCCTGTTTTTTTTTTTTTTAATTTTATTTTTATATTCCCCATACAAATTGCAACCCCCCCCCTTTTTTTTTTTTGGTCAAGTAACTTATTTTATTTGATCCAGTGTTTACCATGTTATTTTTCTATGGAAATTCTTTTTTTTTTAAAATAAATTTTATTTTTATATTTCCCATACAATTGCAACCCCCTTATTTTGACCCCAATCCCTCCCCTCCCCACCCCCCACCTCCCATAGAGTGTCTCTGGTTCATAGTTTTTTGTTGATTTTGATTTTCACTTTCTTATAGTTATTCATTTTCCTGGTCCCTTATTTAAGTTTTCTAGATTCCTGCTATGAGTGAGACCATCTGGTATTTTTCTTTTTCTTTCTGGCTTATTTTGCTGAGCATGATCCCTTCCAGCTCCATCCATGTTGCTGCAAATTGCATGTGTTTATCTTTTTTGAATGCTGAGTAATATTCCATGGTGTATATGTACCACATCTTCTTGATCCAGTCATCTATTTTTGGGCATTTGGGTTGTTTCCAAAGCTTAGCTATTGTAAACAGTGCTGCTATA